GAAGAATCTAGCGATTGTGGGGGATGACTAATGCCTTCTCCAACAACCGCGGATTTTGCTGGATGCGCAGATAAACTGAGGGACGCTACAAGAGCTTCGGCTGCCGTCGAGAAGCGCAGCCCTTCCGCCGTAGGCAACCCGATATTTCAAGTGGCAAAAATGTCGACTAGTATGTTTTGTATTTTACTGCCGATATTTGCTGTTGAATTTTACCTGGATGATGGCTCAGGCCTTTCGTCTCGGTTTCCTATGTAGCGCATCTGCTTGGCACAGTCTAGTTGTTTCATTTATTATATCTCGTGCTCTCCTCATCACGCAGCTGTACAGTCAGGGTCCCAAAGCCATTCTAGCCATGGTGGAATTTCGTTAATCATATGCTAGATAGGGATGATACAACGGGGTCGCCACAACACTTCGCGTTGCTGGGCGTTTCTTAACTTACACTGAACATGGAGTGTAAATCTCAGCTTTGCCTACAGAGCGCTTTGCTCAACTAGAAATACCACCGCCAAAGAAATCCCCTTTCTCGGTCCCATGTTGTGCGCAACCCCCGTTTGTATTGTTTTAACAATATCCTGAAGCAGTTTCCTACGTTTAACGCTCCTATTCAGCTACCACGCCAGAGTTCTGCACTCATGTACTGCTTCTGAATCCCCCGCACTTCAGTAAGCACAAACTAGCAAGCATCTAGAGATTTACGGAGACTGACCGTCGATTCCAGTTAGGGACGTTGTGACTACGTGCTGGTTCACGTGCCGGTACCATGCCGGCCGGCTGTTGACTAGCTAGTTTCGCTTTTGTTATAACCTAAATTATAACCCATGATTATGGAGCAGTTGATGCTACAGAAACCAACGAAGATAAGCAGGCCGGAATAATTGAAAGCTTGCTTGTTTAGTAGCTCAAGGGAGGACAGAATTTCATTGTGACAGGATTGTCTGGCATTGACAGGACGGCCAAGGTCGGCATTAACTCCTAGGGTAACGGCAAATCGCAAACGTTTTGCAACGCCGCTGGTATGCCGCAGGGGAGTTCGGAATCTACTCCAGAGAGAGGCTTTGTCTTGGTAGCACAGCCTTCCTCCAAGTATGCGAGTGTACCTGGAGATACTCGCCAGCCACATTGAGCTGATTCACAGCTCACATACTGTGGCGGGACTGCTATCCTATAGAAACTGAAAAAAAAACGGTGGTATTCGGCCCACGTTGCAAAAAATAATGCAAAACACAATGGAGCAGTTCCGCACAAGTATAGCCACTCGGCTGCCTGAGCGAAAGAAAACGGAGAATCCGGCACCGCGTGAAAAATGCGCACCAATAGTTCTACAGAACAAACAATTACGCATGGCTCGCACGATGGGACAGTACTGTTGGGGCCAAATCCACATCGGCGCAAACAATGCCCGAATATACGTGTCTCCTCTTGCCAGAAATGCTTGCGAACAGCAGGCAACTGGAAGGAGAAATTTGCCAGTGCACAGCGGGTTCAGACGCATCGTTAAATATTACGTATAAATGCTGCACTCAAAGTCAATGCTCATATGCATACACCACTGCCTGACCTGTCACACACGTCACCACTCTTTCACTGCGTAGGAAGGAGATATCAGAAATGGGGACAAAGTTG